CAGTTTATTGGGGATTGCAAAGCTTATGAGGGAACACAAAGGTTTTATGAGCACATGCAAAGTTTCTCTGGGTAAAGCAAGACTCGCAAAGCAACACAAAGTTTCTTGGGGAATCAAAAAAGTTTTGTGAGGGAATGCAGAGTTTCTCATAGCAATGCAAAATTTTGGTCTAAACTTTCTTTTCAATCACCCATGTCCCTTTAGGAGCTCCGCACTGAACAACCATTTTTACCAAGTCATTTTTAAACATGTTTGCAACATCAATAACCCAGATCCTTCTGGATCATGACGTCAGTACAGCCCTGTTGAAAAAACCAGCATATGCTGGTTAGGTATGTTTTGAAGCATGACTGCTGGTTTGAGTTGGTTTAAGCTGGTTCTTAGCTGTTCATGTGCTGGTCCTAAGCTGGTCCTGAGCAGGAGCTAGTTGCTTAGGACCAGCTTAAAGCAGCTCAAACCAGCAGTCATGCTTCAAAACATACCTAAGCTGATTTTTTCAACAGGGAGCATTGACCTTCCATGGTTCAAAAACACTAACTCTTGCTAATTTAGAACTGCAAACAGAGCACTATCACACATATAGTACTACAAATGCAGCACATTTCCATGTGTGTTTGCATCACAGTGGCAGTAGCTGACAGAGAGGTTTGATGACAATCCCCAGCACCACTCCTCGGCCCAGTCCTGAGGCCTTATCCAGCACCTTCAGTCTGAGCGCCAGATCTCCCAGACTGCCCTGCTGCTCCTCGGGCTCCTGGAAGAAGAAATCTTCATTGAACACAGGGTTACGGCAGTTCCTGATGATGGCGCTGTGTTGCCGCTGCAGCTTGCCAGGGGTGAGGCTTAGGGTCAAGCTGCAGGTCAGAGGTCGAAGGTCAGCGAGATCTCTCAAGCCTTCCACCGAGATTACGCGGATGCGAATTGTCGTAGAGCACTGGGCCGCGCTGGCCCTGAAGGCAGAGACGCGCACCCGGCCTCTCTGAGGCAAAGGAAGCACGTGCTCCTGATGGAAGCGTTCCTGGCAGTGCAGCATGTCCAGGGGGAACTGGATGGGCGGGGCTAGTTTGGCGCAACGGGACGTTTGAATAACTTTCGCACGATGAGGGACTTTTGACATGAACTTTTTGTCTGGAGTGGAGTGAACTTTCTTTTTCTCGGCTCTGGAGGCATGAACATCTTGCTGAAGCGGCTCTTCAGAGATGGTGAAATCCTCTCTTCTGATTGGTGGAGGCATTGAGTAAGGGGAGGAGTCAGCAGAGGGCGTGTCACTCTCAGTGCTGGCCGTCTTCAGCACTGCTCTGCAGGACAGTTTGGGTGTTTTGATGGTCATTCGCTCTAGTGTGTAACAGGTAAGTGTGGAATGGAACAAAGACTCTTTGCGACGCGTGTTCGGACTCTCGAATAAACCGGACTCGTAGCATCTCAGTGAATATGGGATGGGTTTGAGTTTGTTTAAAGCTGCTGTAGGTTTATTTAGACTCGCTCTCAGTGGCTGGGCGGTACCAGGTCTTGACAGTGATGTTTTTGTGAAGCTGGGAGCTTTTTTTTCTTCGTTCAGACACTGTGAGATTTTTTCAGCGTCTGCCATGAGGCAGCGCTTGGTCAGCTTGGGCGGCAGGAAGAAGTCAGGGATTTTATCAGGTGTGAGGACGTTGCTGTGCAGTTTATTGAAGATGCTGGTCTTGGCCGAAATCTCCTCTTTGTTTTTGCTGATGAGCTGATTGATCTGCACCGGGAGACTTTCTGCTCCCGCCTGCAGTTTCTGGATGATCCACATTGTGATTGATAATGCTGATCAACTCTGCAAAGTGAAAGAAAAGGTTCAAGGGTTAGTTCAGTAAAAAATGAAAAATTCTGTCGTCATTTACTCTTACGTTCTTCCAAACCTGTTTGACTTTTTTCTTGTGCAGAACACAGAAGAAGATATTTTGAAGAATGTTGGTTGCCAAACCGATACCCATTGACTGCCACTGAATTTGCAAATAACAACACTTAGACATTTCTCAAAATGTTTTCTTTTATGCTTCACAGAAGAAAGAAAATCATTTAGGTTTGTAATGACATGATGACAGAATTTTCATTTTTAGAACATATATCTCTTTAATGGTAAATTAATACCATTTTAAACAATTGTGAGACATAAGTTGTGACCCACCCAAGTGATGAACTATACACTGTACACATATACTATTCACTATGTATTTTAACGTCTAGTATGATGTTTAGAAAAGCAGTTTGTGATCCAGCATCAGAGTCTGATAGCCCTTGTCTTTCAATCCAATAATCCACACTTTTTTACCCGGTTAAATAAGTGCATCATCTGGGTGCACTTGTTCTTGTTCGAATTTTCAGTGTTAACATAATACACACACTATTTATTCTACAATATGGCAAAGAATAGTGATAGTGCATAAATAGACAAATTGGGACACACTTATAATAAAAAATAAGACATTTTAAGCTGTAATCTAAAATCTTTGATTGAATAAATATCTTTCATCTTGTGCAAATTATAATGACGTTGTGTGTAAATTAAAGCTAAATAGAGGGGAATTTATTTATTTCACTTCCTTTCATCAGTAACACATATTAAAAATCTGCTTTCTTTTTATATGTGCCAGCACTAATATTACCACTAATATATTTACATTAAGAAAGGCCAGATATTTATATGAAATTTATTAGAGCGTTAGAGTTGCCCCCATTAGAAGTAACCGGTTAGAGGTAACTGTAACTCTAGAAAAAATACAAATAAAAATAATTTACTGTATCTCAAATAAGAAAGCATAAAATGATTAAACAGTAGTGATATAATCGTTTTATTACTTGATATTAATATTACCAAATACTTTTAATGGAATAATACTAAGTCTCAGGAAGAGATACATTTTACTAGAAAATATTAAGTTATGAGTCAAGAACAGTTTTCTACTGGATAATTTAATAACATTTGTTACATATTTTCAAGAATCAAAAGTCACACAGTTCTTATTTTATAATATAACTGTAAGTTACTGTTTGAGTTACTCGACCTCAGTCAAGGTTAAATCTTGTGTGGCAGCAATAGAAGGCGGGCATCTGTTAATGTTATTTATAAATATACTACTACTTGTTCGTTGATAATTCATGTTTGTTTATTATACATTAATGCTAAGTTATACCTACAAGCTAAAATGGTAAACATGTATTATGTAGAAGTTAACATTAACATAGAGTGTTGAATGTAAAAGTATTGTTTATTGTTAGTTCATTGAACTAATTTGAACAAAAATTAACCTTTTTGTGAACTATTAGCATTTATTATGTCAACTATAGATTGATGATTTTGTCCTTACCTGTCTGGATGATCTGCAGTGGAGATCTGTGAGTTACTCTGTGTGGTCAGTGTGTAGTTTTAATGTTCAGTTCAGGTCAGTCCATCATATATTTCAATGCACAGTGGCCAATCACAGCAGACTTTCTGTCCTATAGGCTGCCTCTCTCTTTCCTCTGTATGTAGCCTAGTTTCCTTATCAACTAAAATCCTTGAAACTGATTTCAGAAAAGCTCCCACAATCAGTAACCCATAAAACATTTCTATCACAGAGAGACACACTGTTCTCAGATCAGATGCACATAGATAATGAAATAGTTGTTCTTTTTCTTTCACGTTTAAAGGTCAACAGTGAGATCACTGGTGTCACTTCAAAGAGAAACCTTTGCTTAGAAAACAGTCTGGTCAGGCTCTGTTCTCCGCTTCAGCCTTCATGTAGTGGGGTCAGAAGTCCCGCTGAGTCTAGTGTCCCCATCAAAGATTGACGTCAGGGTTTTGGTGGGTGGAATTATTCACAATACTGTACTCAGCTCCTTCTCTGGGTATGGTTTTGTTGTGTATCTGTTTGTTTGTAATGGAAGTTTCATGATTTTTGTATGTATTATGTAATCATCATTTTGAGGAGTTATTGTTTGCTTTTAGTGGTTTTCATCTGCTCACATTATGGCACTTTTATTTACAAACATCATATATATATATATCATACAATGCAGATAGCCTACTGTATCTGTATGTAATCATATGCAATATTGTAATTCATTAGGAGGTGGTTAATTCTATCATAAACATTATGAAACTGGTTGTGTATTCGCAATAAACTACTGAAATCCTCAAAACAACACACATAACCATATACCGTTTCACAAAAGAAAAAAAAATGTTTTAGAATGTTTTTCTTATAAAAATTTTTTTTGTGTCATTGGCCTTTTACTGGTGATTCCTATTCCTACAGTGAAATTGGAGAGATAATCAAAAGCCACTGACAACAATATTCGTGGAGTGACATTTAACAGTTTGAAGGTTTTTGGGCCGTATTAATGTTTCTGGGCCCATTAAAACGGGGGAAATATATATGTAGCCTATATACAAATTGACATTGACACTGAATACAGTGCTGCAGTACCACCTGGTGGATTTTAGTGTAGGCTAAGTGCTTATGCTTTTTGAAAACAGTTATTTTAGCTTTTTAGGATTTAAAAGTTTTTTTCAGTATCTAGGCAAGGTAGTCTACATCTGGATTATTTAGTTGTTGGCCAGTAGACTCGCTTTTGACTCGCTGATACTGATCATTAGAAAAAGAACATGGTAGGGTTAGAGACTCGAAAGTTGTCTCTAATTGGTCAGAAATATAATAATTGTTATATTTAATTTTTGCACTCTTTTTTTTTTTTTGGTTAAATTAAATGCTACTTGAGCTTCTCAGTTTTGCTGTAAAGATGTGAGTTATTATTCAACCTGTAGCGGAAGCAGCACATTGATAGCGTGATCACACACGATCTGTTACTTTTCTCAGCGCTTCTCAGGATTAACCAATCAAATTCGTTTGTGATTACTAGCGACTTTATAAAATACATTTGAGCAATTTCTAGAGCGAATCTGTACCATTTATACCAATCCTTTTAATCTAGGAATATAACGTATGGTTAGTTTTAGAGTACACAATTCTCCAGTGAGACGCGTTGAGATCTGACTGTGTCGCAGTAGTGGGTTGTGTTTTCTGAGCTGCAGGCAGACAGACAGACAGTCGTCTGACAAAACTCCCGAGATGTGGTCACAGACAGACAGACACGCGTCAGCTCGTACGTCCCTCACGACACGCGGATCTTCGTTCTTGCATCTTCTCCGTGACAGTCTGCTCTGCCGGTGTGAGGACGCGCCTTCGGCTCGAGAACGGAGCAGCTCCACAAAGCGCTGAGTGTTTGTGTAGATACAGCGCACGCGACGCGCGGACCATGAGCGGCGCGTCTGTGAAATGATCGGTGAGACGTTCAGCCGATCCGCTGCTCGGTCCGTTCATCAACCAACTAACTAACTAACTAACTAACTGTTAGCAGAGAGCTTTAGCTGGCGGAGATTACCAATAAAGTCATGCAGCGGATCAGTTTTTGTTTCGAGCAGGGATATAATATAACCTGACGTGCAAGTACCTGATTAATTGTACCTCATTACTGTTACAACTGCTTAAGGATTTTGTTTAATTGTAGTCAAGTGCTATTGAAACTCATTACTTATTCAGCTACATTTCTAAGGAAAGTTTTTGTTTCCTCCTTGTTATTTAAACCTCTAAATCAAATTAATTTGACTTATTTTTTATTTTATTTAGAACAGTCAATGAAATGCATTTGAATGTAAAATATAATTGTCATTCACTTTATTTTAACATAAAGCAAATCATTTTAATCAATTTATTCCAAATTATTCCCAGTTAATTTACCTGGATAGCCCAAATAAACGGTTCCTCAACTGCATGCCTTTTATTTTTTAAAGATCATTACTAAGGTCATGACTTTGAAAAAATAGTGATTTAAGTAGGTTACTTTGCATAGCTTAGTGCTTCATATTTACTCGGTTTTCTTTGGTCAGTTTCAGACTTATTTTAGTATTATTTATATGAAATCATTATTTAATTTATTAATACTATTATATTATGTATTAATTTTTAGAATTATCGTTTAGCTTTTATATTTTCAGATTTTATTTTAATTGGAGTATAATTTGTAATAATTTATGTGCTTTCAATTTTATTAGTGTTTTTAATATTTATATATAGCTTTTATTTTATTTAGGTTTTGTTAATTTTATTACCTCGTTAGCTATTTAATTACTTACATTTATTTTATTTCAGTTATTTGCCAAGGCAACATTTTGAATTTAAGTTTTGAGTTTAAGTTTAGATAAAAAAAAAAAATTATATTTTGTTTTATTTTAGTTTTATATCACATACTGAAAATAGTTTGAGTAAACTATAAAAACAATGGTTTCATATTGTATGGACAGTATATTTTAGTTTGGTACTTAAAGTAAAATTCAGAATGAGTTGCATTAGTTCTCTTCTCTCCTCTTCTCTTCTCTTCTCTTCTCGTCTCGTCTCGTCTCGTCTCGTCTCTTCTCTTCTCTTCTCTTCTCTTCTCTTCTCTCCTCTCCTCTCCTCT